TTGAAGATGAATTTTAAAAAATTGCCTTACATCGTAAGCCTCTCTAATAACAATTGCAATCTGCTACTACTTGTTGTATTATGCATCTTTTTCTAAAAAAAATTTTTTACACTTATTTATTACAAGATTTATTTAACAAACTTTTTTTTTTTTTTAAAGTGTCATCTTTTTTTTTTTTTGAAGTGACATCTATTTAAACTGGTAAGGTTTTTTATTTTATAACTTTTTAATATATTTGTAATATTTAAATTTTTTAAACAACTATATTATTTTACATTTTAAAGTTATGTAAAACTTGTACTTTTTTTTTTAGCACAGTTAATCATTAACTGTTAATCTGTAATAACTAATATAAACAAAATATGGTTATATATAACTAATATATGTTGGCAATCTTATTCAACATTTATGTATAATACATGTAACGTAAATGATGAAAAACATTTGTTATATTGTTTTAGCTGCTCAAAGCAATGTAATGGCAGCAGCCAACAATATCAGTTAGTTATTTTATACATTCAATATTCATTAGTTTCTTTAACCTTAAAATCAGTGGATATAGTAAAGACAAATGTTTGTTTTATTTTGTTAAAAAAAGTTTTTCATTTGTTTTTTAGATGAAGCTTTTGAGAGGACAAAGTCAGTTTTTTTTTGTTGGTGTTTGTTATTTTAGTATTTAGTCTTTTGATTTTAATATTCAATTATATATCTTTATTATGCTATGTTTTTTGTGCAGATTTTTGTGTATCCAAAAAGTTTATTTACAGTTGTTTATTTATATATTCCTGATTGTTTCTTGCTTTTTATTGAGTCATTGTTTTTTTTCTACATACAATTTAGAACAAACTATTAGTAAGTAAAGTTTAACTAGAGTTTTTCGGTTCCGGGTACCCGGACTCGAACTCGGCGAGTCCGTGGATAAATAACCGGATTCGATACCCGGTTTAAGACTCGGAGAGTCTCATGATTTGACTCTTCGGTTTTGCCTGTACGCATCGGAACGCCGCCACACTGTATCCCCATCTTTTTTTAGCTTAAAATTTAGACCACGGCTTTTTTGATGTTTTGAGAACATTCAAGTTTACATATGCTTTCATGTAAGTCCGAATAGACACTAAGCTCATAAATTTCTAATCAATCTGTTTATTGTATATGCGATTGTTTTAAAAGCATTCGTTAGTATAAAAACTTTTGATTAGAAAGATTGAAGTTAATAAGTTAATTCATTTAATTTTATTTAAAAAAAAAAAAATTTCATTTGTTAATTAAATAGTTGAATAATATCTCCTTTTAAGGAAAAAAGTTTAATGTGACATTTTATACAGCGCTATTATGCCGAAAAATTCAAAATTGTTGGACTATTTCACCCAATGTACTGATTTGAAAAGTGGTAAATGCAGTAGGTGTTCAACGATAATATCAAACAAAGATGGAAATACTTCATCAATGATTAAACATTCAAAAGTTAAACATGGAATTTCTTTACTAACACGAGAAGAAATAGGAGAAAATTCCACCAATAAACGATTTAAAACTATGAACACTTTCGTTTCTGTTGCAAGAAAGCCTTTAGAAGAAATTGTCACTAAAATAGCCGCTCTTGATGGTATATCAGTTAGGGTGATTGCAAAGTCTAGCTTTATTCGTGAAAGATTAATAAAATCAAGTTACAATTTTCCTATAGCAGAAAGAGATGTTATGAATTTAATTCATAAATATTATGAAAAAAAGAAGTTGGAAATATTAGAATTGTTGCAAGAAAAAGTTAAAGAAGGCCGACGATTTAGCATTACACTTGATGAATATACGAGTATGAAAATTCGGAAATATCTAAATTTCAATTTGCATGGAATTGACTCTGAAGTGTATAATCTGGGTTTAGTGAGAATTTCTAACTCGTGTACAGCGGTACAGTTAGTTGAAAAAGTAGAACAACATTTAAACACATATAATATTAATTTTAAAAAACATATAGTTAATTCAACCGGCAACGGTGCAAGTGTAATAATAAAATTTGGAACAGAATCTCCTAGTCTCTATAATTTGTGTTTGAATCACACTATACACTTACTGTTTGTGATGTACAATATAAAAAGAAAAATATTGCCGTCTTGCAAAATGAAGATGGTATTGATGGTAATGGTGATGATCATGGTCAAGATGGTAAAGATGAAAATTATTATTCTGATAAGAGCGGTGATGACGTCGAACATGTTGAATGAACAAATTTAGGAAATACAGAAGAAAATATAAAAAGTGTTCGTATAATTGTTAAATTTTTTATAAATTCTTCTGTGCTAAATAATATTTTGCAAAAAAGGTCAAAATAGTTTTAGGAAATGAACTTCAGCTTGTGTTAGACGTAAGAACTCGTTGGAACTCATTGCTCGAAATGGTATCTAGATTTTTAAAATTGTTTTATATCGTTAAAGAAACTCTTCAAGATATTGGAAGTGTACATTTAATAGAAAATATTAATATTGAATTATTACATGAATTGGAAAATACTCTAAAACCTATTAAACCAACTGTTGAAGTTCTTAGCAGAGATGATGCTAATATTGCCACAGCCCGATTAGCAATTGATTTTATGTTAAGAAAAGTAAAAGAATCCAATGGTAACATAAGTAGAGAACTATTAATGACGATGAAAACTCGAATAAATAGCCGTAAAAACCAAGAATTAGAAGAGCTATTAAATTCTCTTGTAAATGGTACTATGCCTTCAAAAATACAAACATTTACTACAGAGTTTATGAAAAGATTATTTTGTACAAGAATTCGTTCTAGATTATCGGACAACTCATTGAGTGCATTAATTTTTTTGAAAGCTTTATTTTTCAAGTAAAAATAATTGCTCTGGTATGTATTAAACACTTATACGTATTCTAATTTAGTTGAGTTTATTATTGCTAGTATATTTGCTCGCATTTTATTACAAATTATGTTTGTAAATATACATTAATGTAATGTCAAGTTTGTTTGGTAATTTAAGATCATAATAAAGGTATTAGCCGGATAATAATCATTTTATTTACCATAACATACACCAAATCTATTTTTTAAAATGGGCGTAAGAGCAAAAAATCATTTCATGCTATTGTTAAAATTGCGAGTTAAAAAAACGTAGTAGACCCGGACTCGAACCCGGACCCAATAAATATTCGTTGGCTAGGCTCGGACTCGTCGGGTCTAAAAAAGCCGGGTTTTCCGAAACCCTAAGTTTAACCAATTTTAAAAATTTAAACATTTTTTTTCCGGTAATGTTAGTGTTTTAGTTTAATTTAATAATAAAGTTAGTAATTTAAAATTGGTTTCTAGGTGAATTTAGACAGCATATTTGTAGGTTGAGTAAAATTTAACAAATTCAATGGTATAGTTTAACGATACATGCTAACTAAAGATTATTACTTAATTGATACACGCTAGAGGTGTTTATTGATACACGCTACCTAAAGATGTTGTAACGAAAAGAGTAACATAAAATTTATTTTTAATAAACTATTGTTATATTTCTATTGTTACTACTTATTCCTTTTTAATTCTTTAGCAACAATTACTTTATTAATTGGTAAGAAATTAAAGTGTACTTTAATGTGTATATATAGAGATATAGTTTGATTTTGTGTATTATGCAGTATTGTAATATTTAATATGTACAATGTTATGATATATTTAATATGTACTATGTATGTATATTTAGTATGTAATATTTACATTTAATTTAATATTTACATTTAATTTAATATTTACCATTTAATCTTTTGTGCCATTGTATTACTTAATCTTTAACATCCTTGTCATCTGCTGCAACTGGTTAGATTTCTATATTTTGATATTTCAAAATTATTTATATGGCAAAGTAATTGCAAGATTAATTTATTACACTTATTTATTACAAGATTTATTTAACAAACTTTTTTTTTTTTTAAAGTGACATCTATTTAAACTTGTAAGGTTTTTTATTTTATAACTTTTTAATATATTTGTAATATTTAAATTTTTTAAACAACTATATTATTTTATATTTTAAAGTTATGTAAAACTTGTATATTTTTAGTTTGCAACATGATTTAATTAACAAAATTTTTGGGATATATTTTGTACTGATCCAAACTGGTAAAGTTTATATATTTTAACTTTGTTAAAAAACTTTCATAACAAGATATTTATAAAAGTAATAATTTGTTATGCCTTTTTTTTTAGTGCTATTATTATCTGTTTCAGCTACGTAAGGATAAATAAATTATAATTTTGCAGCATTATTCTAAATACAAAATAGTTTAAGATTTTTGTTTGTATTATGTTTTCAATTTTTTTGTTCTATCTTCCACTGATCTAACTGGTAAGTTTGTATATTTTTGCTTTGCAATATGATTTTCATAGCAAGATAATTAAAAAAAAAAATTATGCTTTTTTTTAGTACCATTATCATCTGTTCCAACTGGTAAAGATAAATATGATATAACCTTACATAATGACTTCAAATACAAAATGATTCAAAATTTTCATTTATAATATGTTTTTTAATTTTTTAGTGCCATCTTCCTCTAATATAATTGCAATATGACTTTCACAGCAGGATAATTTAACGAAAAAATTTATCATGCTTTATTTTTATTAAGATAAATATTTTGTAATTTTGCTGCATGATTTTAGACACCAATTAATTTAAAGATTTTTGTATGTATCACATTTTCATTGTTTTAGTTCCGTCTTCAGGTTGTATATTTTTATTTTGCAACATATTTTATTAAAGAAAAATACTTAGAACCATATTAAAGAAATATATTACAGTATATTTCTTTGTTCGGTTTTTTTCCAACTGGTAAATTCTTTATTAGGTTCTGTTCCAACTGGTAAGATTATATATTTTAATTTTGCAATATGATATTGGTAGCAAGTTAATTTCAGGATTTTTTTGTTGTAAAATGCTTTTTTTTAATTGCATTTATATTGCCATCATCATCTCTTTAAATATGGTTAGTATATATGTTTCAACTTTGCAATATGAGTTTAAATAAAACTTGTTTTTAAGATTGTGTAAAATGCTTTTTTATTTCTTTTTTAGTGCCATTATCATCTGCTTCAAATGGTTAGTATATATTTAACTCTGCAATATGATTTTAGATAAATTTATTTTTAATATTGTGTAAAATGCTTTTTTATTTCCTTTTTTAGTGCCATCTTTATCTGCTCCAATTGGTTAGTATATATGTTTTAACTCTCCAACATGAGTTTAAATACAATTTGTTTTAAAGATTGTGTAAAATATTTTTTTATTTCTTTTTTAGTTCTATCTTCATCTGCTCCAACTGGTAAGGTTAACTGATTTTAAATTTTGAGTTTTCTCTGTTATTTAATATTAGATGATACTTGTTAAAAGTAAATTCTATTTTAGTTCTTACGTATGAAGTCTATTGTGAGTATAGGTCTCGCCACCCTTACTGTTACACGCCTCTTTTTTCTGTTGGTTGCGTTATGAGGTAGGAGGAGGGGGAGATAGGTCTTGTCGCCCCCCACACTTGGGTGATGAGACCTATCAGCGTTAAGGTGGTAGAAGAGAAGACAGAAAAGGATTTGAAATATACTTTTATTACAAATTATAACTTGTGTTTTAATAAAAATTTTTAAACTAAGTTGTAATTTCTTAGGAAAAGTTTGGTAGTTAATTTATTAGGAAAACTCGAAGTTAAGTGCCAATTATAAAAAGTTTATCAAAATAATATTTGTAAACTGCTTTAGCAAAGTTTTTATTTTAAAAATTAATCATTTCATTTTGTTCCTCTTTTGTATCCGAAGTTAGATAGGAAACCAAACCTTGATTACTATGAAATTTAATTTCTTTTTTGTTATAATAATATAAGAGTTTTATTAAGAATTTGTGTTTACGTAGCTTCTATATTTAATAAATAAAATTATTAATGATTTCATTAGATTTAAAAACTCCAATTTAACCATTTATCTGTTATCAAAGGTATGCATATTGTTTGACTAAGTTAATACATAAAATATTTTAATTTTTTGATTAAATAAATAAATAATAGTGTAATTTTGTTTTGTATAAATGTGTTGATTTATAACTGTAGAATAAAATTTAATTATACTTACAACATAATAAAAGTCTTATAAGATATTTTTTTTTCTGTTAATTGTTGTAATTTTTCTTGTAAATGTTAAATGGGTCCACAAAAACAAAGGTAATGATATTTCTTGGAGCAGACAACAATTTTTGACTGCTAACTTTAAATTAGCTTATGATGCAAAGATTCAGTGTAGAAATGGACACATGTTTTTATTTAGCTTTAACACTTATACAAATCATATCCAAAATGTAGTGAATGTAGCGAAAAAATGGACAAGTAACTATAAAAGTGACAGTAAATATTTTGAAGATTTTTGCAATCAATCATGCTGTATACTAAACTTTACGATTTGCCATTTATCTCAGCTTTGCTCAAGTGTTTCCCCTTTAATTGTATCACTTAGAGAACACAACAGTTTTTACTGAAAACGAAAAAGCATTACAGATGAGAATGATAATTTATAACATGTTATTATGCAACGTCTCAACAAGTAACATTCCATTATTGATTCAGAAAATTGGGCAAATTATGAGTGTTGCTTTTACTAATATTCCCCATCGTAATACTGCTGAACAAATAGCTCGTGAGCTTCGTATATCAAATTTGCAATTTGGTTGAAAATCAAATTTGCAAGCAGCTGAATGGGCGATTACAAATAGTCTTACTTTCTCTTGGTTTTGATGCAATGACACAAGAAGATGTTCATATTAACAGCATTCACTCAACTTCTTAAGATAAATGTCTAGTCATTGCTCTAGACCTATTACCTAGTGGAACTGCTGATGATTATGAAAACCATATATGTAATGCCATTGATTCATTAATTCAGATTTTCACTTGTGTAACAATAAATGAAACTCGTAATTTAATTAAAAACATTTTTAACAAAAGGTCTGACAGAATTGCTGTTAATCATTTTACCCTTAACAAAGTATGTGCTACAAGGGGAAAAAATCTTAATGAAATGAACTGCCATTTACGCCCCCTTGATACCATTGCCACCATCATGTCGCTCATTATTAAAGTTCTTAGAGAATGAGAGTTGCAAATTGTATGGAAATGACTGTACGGCAACTTTGATAGTTTTGGCTATGATATATAAAGACATCAAAGGTTCACAAGATTCTGGGAATTTTTAGACAATAAAATATTACCACGTGGTATCATTCCAAGTTATCGTGGAAACCAACAACACATTCTTTTCTATACTTTTTTTTTTTCGATGCAGCATGTTAGTGACTTTAAACATTACCCCACAATTGGAACAGTAAAATTTAAACAATTGGAACAGTAAAATATAAAAGTTTACAAGCTACTCTTCGAGCTGCTTTTTGTAATACAACCGCCATTAAACAAATGTGCGTGCTTGCGGTATATGGAAAAGTTCTTACTGGGCCTTGGATGACATTGTTTTAAGTAACAACAGAGCATGCAAATTTTGATCATGTTGATGGTATCCAGTTAGCGAAAAAAGTTGTACAAACAGTTCAAGCATAGAAATCGAATCCAGCTGATTTGTTTTTCCGACAGACTGATTTTTTGGAAATTAAAACAGACATTTTAATATTAAGTTTATGCACCATTGATAAAGAGGTTTTTAAAATGACTTCTGCTTGTCTAAATGCAGTGAAAAATGTTTTAAATCAACAATATGGTTGATATTTTTAACTTAACATGACAGAAAAATTAAGAGACAGCAAGCGCAATGATTCACAACATCAATAGTGAGAAGTTAATAAGTATGTTTAGCAATGCCGAAATACGCTCTCCTAACGCAACAATTTACTATATCTCTTTCAAACTCAGATAAAAAAAGTATAGGACTGTGGATTATTTAGAAAGTCTAGTCCTTAATTTGAGATATAGAGTTAGAAATGGATTGCATCAGGTTAAAACTAGAGCTGATACTTGCCAAACACAGGCAACCAAGCGCCAAAAATGGATGAAAAAGAATATAGAAAGTTAGAGCATGAGCTATCCATACTAAATTGTGATGAAATTATAGATTCATACAAAAACCTGTCCAATGACCAACTTTATGATTAAGAAAATGATTGAGAAGAATTGTAGGCAAAAAATTATATCATGAATCTATGATCTAAATACATCTAAGCCTGTTTTGTTTAATTGCAGAGTAGAAAAAGTTAATCGTAGAATAAAATGATTAAGTTTACACTAATTCTTACTGGAAAGATGATGAAATGTATATGGAAGCTGACGACCATTGCATAAAAATATCTAGCGTGTTGCATATGTTATTTCAGGAGAGTTACAATTTTATTAGTTTTATATTACATTATAAAAACACTGTGAAAGTATTAACTTGTTATTATTATTTTGTTAATTACATTTTTGTTAATTACTTGTTATTTATATACTATTTATATATATTTATATTATTATATATATTATTTATATTATTATATATATTATTTATATTATTATATATATTATTTATATTATTTTATATATATTTATATTATTATATATATACTATATATATATATATATATATATATATATATATATATATATAAAAAGTATAGGACTGTGTGTATATATATATATATATATATATATATATATATATATATATATATATATATATATATATATATATATATATATATATATATATATATATGTATATATATATATATATATATATGTATGTATATATGTGTATATATATATATACATATATATATATATATGTATATATATATGTATATATATATATACATATATATATATATATATATATATATATATATATATATATATATATATATATATATATATATATATATATATATACACATATATATATATACACATATATATATATATATATATATATATATATATATATATATATATATATATATATATATTATATGCTATTTATATATATTTTGTTAATTACTTGTTATTATATTTTGTTAATTACATTTTTGTTAATTACTTGTTGTTATTATTTTGTTAATTACATTTTTTTTGATTTTTAGCTGCATCTACATCTGCTATAGTTGGTAAGTTTCTTTATTAGCAGTGCATATTTTATCTCATTGAAATTATACTAAAGATTTAATCCCGATTTTAATTTATTTTTGTTGTTTTACATCTTTTTTTTAATTTTTAGTTCCTGCAGCACAATCTTTTTCCAAGTTAATGTATAAATTGAAATACTTCTTTATGGTTATTATTTGTTTTTAAAAAACCTTTAATGCTTGTTTATATTTTATAAAAATATCTTATTTTAAATAAAAAAATACTTAACAGAAATTTTTTTTTATGTAAGGGTTCATTCAAAATGTTTTATAATGCTTTTCAAATCTTGACCAATATAAATGTTTATAACTTCTTTCATTAAAAAATTAACATATCATGCTTATCTTATATATCGTTGCCAGCATCCTGGACCCAAAAGCAACAAATCATATTTGCGTTGGGGTCGGTTTGATGGTGAAGACGACCATTCATTAAGATGGTCCAAACATTCTCCAAACAGGGTGCTGGCAAGAGAGGCAGAATCTGGAGACGTGGAAGCAGGCAACGGAAAACTGGTAGAGGGTTGGGAAATTGTTACATTAATAATTATTAAATTATATTACAGACAGCAGTCTTATTTTGCTGTATTTATTTTTATATGTTTTACTTGATGTAAAATAATGTCCAGTTTGTTTTCTATTGTCTTAATCTTAACTAGAAAGCAACTGTTGAATTATTTCTTTATTGATTATTTTACTAAAAATAATCTTAATACAAAGCATTGGCAAGGTTCAGAAGAAATTTTTTATGCGTTTGCAATGAAGTTTTATTAAAATTTGCAGATAGGTATCACTTTTGAGGTAGTTCTCCACATTAAATGAAAATTGAAAGTTAAATTTAATATTTTAAGTGTGAGTGTTTATTGATATATGTGATCAGCCCTTTGTTTTTTTGATTTGCATTATTTGGGTTTAATTAAAGGTTATGACTTTTATAACAGTTATCTTATCTTAAACTAACTTGACTTATGTTTGCAGTTCCAAAAAATTTAGTTGGCAGTATTGAGATTTAAACCATTAAATTATAGAAAGTACGTATGTTTCAATTTATATATTTTAAAATGTAATTAATTTTATATAGTTTTAAATGTTATTAATTATATTAAAGCTTCTTAACTATAACAAGATCTGGCTCATCCTCATTGTTAGTATCAAGTAAGATGGGTGCTAAAACTTTTCGCCAAAACAAATTTAT